TCACATGCATCCATGTGAGTCCATGTGGGGATCTGGTCCCTGTATCTACAATGATCTCCACTAAACAGAGACTTGAGTAATTCAAAAGACATTAACCAATGGCTAGTTTGGCCCTGTGCAAATTTGTGGAAGCTTTTCAAGAGCCTACTCAAGTGGCCCTGCATGATGGGAAAACAGGCATTTCCTCACACCTATTTGTAGTCAGGTACCAGAATGAGGTGCCCTAGACTCAGCATTTTACAATCTTAAACAGCAAGATGATGAACAAAGTACATAGCTGCAATAGCTTAGCAAATATATATAACCTAAGAAAAGATTATCATTTAACCCTACAGAACCTATTTTGGTCATTATTGCTAGAGGCAGATTTTCGCTGCTCTATCTGCTCTAATTAATAATTTGATAACTGCAGCCCACTTAGGACAAATCAATATTTGATGGAAATTCACTTAAAAATACAATATACTCCCAAAAGAGCCTAGCCAAGACCCTAGGAAAATAGTGACCTCTGCTAAGGTTTCTTCTTGCTATTGAAACACTTGCATCATGACGCAGATTGATTGTATGTTTTCCTGTAAGAATGGCACAAAAGATAAATTTAAAATATAAACCACCTAATCATTTTGCTTATAAATAGATTGACCTTTAAATACATTGATCTCATGGCAAGTTCTTGCATCTTTCAGACACAGGAAATATTAAGGCTTGTACAAGGATATTCAGTTAGCTTTGTGCATAAACTGAATTAGGGTTTCCTCTTCAATCACCTGTCTAGACTGATAGATTAGTACGTAGATATGAATACATATTCAAATTGAATAACAGCAGTTTGTTTTTGAGAGATCACAAGACCTATAGGGGTAGCTAATGAAGTAGTAATGATCAGTGCCCAGTGACCTTGGAATTTAAATGCTTCAGAGCCTGCTGAGATGAGCAGGTGCCAGGTGAACTCATACATTACAAATGCCCTAAACCAAGAATCATCTATTTATATGTTTCTTTTTTTGGACTTTGAGCTATGTCCCAGGATGCTCCTTGGACAAAACCTTGGAAATGATAAAAAACCCTGTGATTTTATACCTCAAGACCAACCCGACCCATCTGTCTTCAAAATTGTTTGCTAACCGTATCCACTTCCTCACTTTTGTCTTAACTGGATTTAAGATACAAAATAAGGATGTTTTTCTTATTTTTCTGCATAATATCAGTAATGTTTTCTTACTTCCAAATAAATAGGTAGCATTAGTCCTGTGAAAATCTGAGAATGACCATAAAAACTCAAAATTCAGACGTACTCCTCAGTAAAAATGAAAACTGAAAAGGTTAATAAACATGCAAACACCATGGATACCTGAAATGCCACAATTTTTAATACCATTCTTTATAAATTGAAATTCAAGCTCAAACATGAACCTCCCTGAGCACATTTATTAATTAGAAAAGCATTATCCCTGGCTTTGCAGAGAGGGGAAATGTTATATAATTATCAAATAGTGAAAGCAACAAAAAATTTCTTGGCAGCTTCAAGCAGTTACTGCATTGAGCACTCTAGTTAAGTGCCAGAGCTCTGCCACAGCAACTCAGCTGGAAGACTTATCTGAAGAAAAACTCATAGAATTCTTGACTCTAGCTTAGAAAATTCAGGCGAACTCCTTTGAGAAGTAAATCTCAAGTCTTTTTCTGTAAGTCCCTATGGAATGTTACTCCAGGGAAGTGAAGAAAGGTGTCACATTCAGGTCCCTATATTATAGAAAGGATTTTTTCAGAGCCCAGGAATTCATTAATTCTTCAAACAGTACTAGAGAATTCTATCCAGATTACTGAATGGCTTACCCATCTATCAGGCCCTTTCATTCCAATGTCACAGGAGAAGATTATAGGTTTTTATGGTCAAAGTCAGGTATTCCAGCCTGTCTGAGCATTTTGTTATGCAGAAGCAGTTGGCTTTCTAAATAAAGTCAAATAGAAGGGAATGCAGCAGAGAATAAGGAGCTTATCTATGTAAAACAAGCCTAAGTGTGTGAGACTACATAGAAGAGAGAGAAAAATACTGTAGCATAGTGGGAAAAATCCTTGACATAAACAAGAGTATTAGCAAGACACATTTGCTCTTGACCTGAACACTGTAATGCTCCCAAGCAGGGAACACGCTTTCATAAGAAATAGGCATTAATCCTAATTCTTCAGAGATGAATTTCAATTGATTTGGAATTCAGATAAGCCTGAAAACTTTCACATATTTGAAGATTATCTAAATTTTTCCATAACTGGGGGTCTCACACTTGTTGGCTTCCATAAAGCTGAGGTTACTGGGCACACCAGGGACTCTTGGCTGTTCTCCTCTCCAGCACCTTAATAACCCTGTATGCTGGGTGAGCACCCCTTCTGGGTTTCATGAGCCCCCTAGATCCCAGATGCTTGCACTACATATCCTCCCACTATCTCTGCTTTAGCTATGTAACCCTACAGCTTCTTCCACACCAGGATTACTAAATATCTCTTTCTGTTGAGTTTTCAGTAACTCTGTTGACTCTTTTTTACAAAAGGGCATTTATGCTACTGCTCTGATCTAAGGCTCTGTGTTGCACCATTTTCCTGTGCCATGTATCCTGCTACATCTCAGAGCTCAGCCCCTTTTCATTTCACCTTATTTTTTGTCTGTGATAAGTTATTCAGTATATAAGTTTCAGAATCCCATTGCACTAAAAATGTTTAACAGCAACAGACAGACAACAGTCAATCAGCATCTGTTGGATGCTCAGCAGTTACCCATCTTCTTTCTCCTTTTCCCTCCCACAATCATGTTTTGATTCTCTACCAAGGGAGAAACATCCTTTCCTGCCAGCTGTTCCAAATCCCTGAGCTTTCACATATATTTTATGGAAAATATTACCACATTGTGGTACTAAGTTGAGACTGACATTGGAAGGGGGAAGATCTAGCTAGCATTGCTTTCGCTAGGCTATAGTAATTGTAAATTAGGTTTACATGGATTTCAATAGAATTCTGTATAAATTTAGATACTTCATGATCAGAGATACAGTAGATACTTTTATTTTACCTTCTCACTGAGTCCACCTGAATCTTAGAATTTACAGAAATAATCTAGTTGTGTGCAAAATGTGTGAATGGAGATTCACAAACACACAAAGTCTAATTTCCATTCAAACTGGTATCCCTACTAGTAGTCAAAAGAATCCCTGTCTGGGTTGTGTATGGGATGTTGAGCATTGAAAAAAACAGTAAATGAAGGGCAAGGGAAAAAAATCATGTTTGGGTTAGAGTTTTTCATGCTCGTCATTCACTCTAAGAAGCATCTGCCCAAAGGACAATGTTATAAAAGAGGGAAGTAAAATAATATGGGCAGGCGAAATGTACTATCCCTGTAGACCTGATTTTTCAGAAACTGCTACTTTGCAGGAAAACCTAGGAGAAAATCACTATTTTTTAAGAAATTGTCCCATAGGATGGCAATTTCTCATGCAGACAAGTGCCAATACAATTAACTCCTTGGCGTTACTTCTTTGCAGAACAGCTGACAGCAAAACACAGGACAGCCTACTTGCCCTAGAATGCAGATCATTTCTCTTCCAGACATACAAAGCTCATTGCTTCAGAGAAATATTCACAAATAATGAGAACAAAATAATGAAGTAATATGTTGTTGCACAGATCCAGGAGCAGCAATTAACTTTCCAGGATCTGAATACAACCCACAAGCATTGGATTGCAGTATGGTTTGTTACTGCTGGGCATCTTGCACTGGCTTTTACATGCAGGCAAAAATGTGTGTAGAATGCTACCTACGTATAAGGCTGCTTTGCTGTAAGGACAAAGGGCACTTTGATCCCAGTGCAGGAGACTACTGTATTATAGATTTTTTGTCAAAAATCAACTTTGCCTAGAGAGAAAACCTGCATAAAGCAGCCTGAAGGCATGAAAGTCTCTGGAGAATACCATTCATGATTTCTAAGACCTTCATCATAATCTTATTCAAGTTAAGAGGGAAAACTGCTTTTTGTTATAATACTGTGAAATCTGTAAAAAAATGAGTGCCACCTCCTAAAAAGTATAGACTCAGGGTTGTCTGGGACATGGGGAAAAGGAACTGCTAAACGAGGCAGTTTCTTTATCTCTCAACTAGCACAAGTTGACAGTATGTACAGTTTATGTGATGCAGTGGAACAAAACCAGCTATACCATGCCATGTCCCCCACATGACTTCTCCCAGCTTAGGCTGGGGCTGAGTTCACCCCTGAAAAATCTCTAAAATGTACATTTGTTCTCTTACAAATGTACAAATGTACAAATGTAACAATAACATTCCCAATGTAATAAAGCTTTGGCAACTAGAACCTTAGCCAGATGATAACAAAAGCTCCCAGTCTTTTCTGGCTGTCTTGGCTCCTTCTGGACTCATTTGACTTTTCTGAGACTAGTGACTAAGAGGAGACCTCAGTGTCTACCTGAAGGTTGGGCAAGATGAATCATTAGAAACTTCTGGTGGGTGGGAGATTTTGTCAGATCCCACTCAAAACAGAGACATTGCTCCTTTCCAGCAAGCAGGGAGACTTATTGGGAATCCATCACTGCTTGAGCCAGACAAGGAACAAACTCCACCACCTTAACACTGAGTCTGCATCTGTATGTGGGATCTGATGCTCAGAAAGCACTTGATATACTGAGAAGAAACATGGGGAAGGTGCAGAGAAAGCATTGGGGCATTATCATGCACAACCTGAGGGCAAGAAGAAGAAGTTCTCCTAGAATTGGTTGGATTTCTGGGCAAAAAAAAAAGGTCATTTGTGTTATTTTGTGGAAGGCTTTCTATGAGTGTAATCTCCCCAGGCAAGGGTCATGTTTGTGTCCGTTACTTATTTTCTTTGCTCTAGTGATCCTGCAGTCCCTCCATTGACTTCAATGGCAGTGCTATTCATGGACTGACTCTAGGATTGGGCTATTTACTAAGCAAATAATCAGAATCAGCAGTTTTGGAGTCATATGGGCACCCAATAAGCAGCCTGTTTTGTTGTTGGATTGGCTATAAAATCCCAAATCCCCTCAGTTCCTGGCTGCTGGCACCAAGGCTCACTAACAGCAAGCAGAATGGCCTTTCAGTCTGTGCTCTTTGTTTTCTTAGCTGGACTGGTATTTTTCTCTGAAGCTGCACCACTGGTGAGTTTCTTTGTATTCAAACTCAATCATGACAAGAATGATAATCTAGATTTTCTAGATGACTAGCATCCTTCTCATCCATGAAATTCTGAAACCATTGGGCTTTTCCAGAATCCTATTTCTGGGGTTTTTTTTATAGTGACATCTGCAGAATTACTAAAACTTTTTTTTTCTTTTCTTGCCATTTACCCAGCTATTTTAAGGTATTATGGAAGGGTCAGGGATCTAGGTGGTGTGGACCTTTTCGTTCCTTTGTTTCTATCTATTCATGACTCATCCTGCATCCTCAATAAAGAGGCAGCTTTTCCAAACAAGCGCTTCTCTAAAGCACTGAAAAATATTTTTGAGGTATGACTAATGATTCCTTATAATGTAATGAAGCCTAAGAGTGGGATATTTCAGCTTTAGGCTGTCATATATATTTCTTTGTTGGTTTCCCTAGTTAACATACTTTGTCTGCACTTACAAGAATTTACTGTTTTCATATTTGTGATCTCATTATAAAGGTATAACATTATATCATTTTCCTAGAGCCATTCAGAGCAACTCTAAATATTGATCAAGCAATCTGTGTGTGTGTAAAAAAGTTATCAGTATTAAGCTCTAAGATATTCTTAAGAAATGATAAGATATGCTTAAGAAATAGATGTTTTGAATAGCATTTGTCAGAGAATTTACTTTTCAGTGAATGGTAATTCTGCAATTAGAATCCATCTTTTCACTGGGAGAAGGTTTTTGCAGGCTTGGTGAACAGTTCCTATACAATTTCTCCTCCTTTCCCCAAGGTGTCCCATGGCTCTGTTGATTCCAAATGCCCTCTTATGGTGAAAGTGCTGGATGCAGTCAGAGGAAGCCCTGCATCTGATGTAACTGTTAAAGTTTTTAAACAGGCTGAAGATGGAAGCTGGCAGGACTTTGCTGTTGGGTAAGTTGTGTGGTCTTCTGGAGCCATTTTCAAGGTGCCTTGGGAGATCTATTGAGGAGTTAATGGAACGGAGCTCTGATCAAAACAGAAATATTTTTACTGACACATGTGCCACACTATCAGTGTTCACAGCATATGAATTCTGATCTAAAATCCATTAGATTTAAGTGGAATTTATCCATGACTGAAATGTTAATTGCAAAAATATGTTCAGATGCTTATCTTAATAAGTAACTAGTTTTAGTACTTATTTTTTTCTCCTAGCTTCAGTATTATCTTTCCTTTCTACAGTAAGAAGAAAAAAAAAAAAAGCCTATTTACCAGCACTTTGTAGGTAATCCAGACTAACCTATCTTTGTATGCAATGGTTATAGAGCTTTATTTGCAGCAGTCACATACAAAATCCTCTCTGTAAGCTTTGTCTGCACACATGCAAATAATAAGTGCATTATTCATCTTTTGCCATGTACCAAATGTGCTGGTTGGAAGAAACTCCTTGACCAGAAAGTTTTAAAGAGTCCTATTATAATGCAACCCAGAGGAAAAATTTCAGCATTTGTTTGAGGTAATTTCTCTAGCTCTGAATGTCTTTTTCTAGAATGACAGACCGATACCAACAGATACCTAGCATCCTTACAAATACCTTAGCACATCACAGAGGGTCAGACAATAATATCTTCAGTCTGTGACAGGTGTATGAGTAACAGAAGAACAGTTTACTAAAATCCAAATAGCTGAGGTACTCAGACATTTAACTTTCATTGCAACAATTTGTTGAATCAGATTTTTAAATAACTCAAGAGGTCTCCAGTAGTAGCAGAATACACAAGCACAGAGTACTAAGCACAGAATGATAAGCACAAAAATGGACAGGAGTCCATTATATGTATAATATATACATTATATATATTAATATATATATAATGTATATCCAACTATACATTTTATTTTCTTTTACTAGGATTTTTTTATAGCTTGATTTACACAAGAAGAGCAGAAAAAAAAAAAAAACAGAGAAGAAGACTATTAAGAGAGATAACTTTCTCTCCATCTAAATGGTTTCTTTTTATATAATTAAAAACAAAATACACTTTTCCCCATTGAAAAGTACCAAGAAAGTTTACAAGATTAAAAGAAAAACAAACAACTCCACTCCCAAATGCTGAGTGTTAACTTAGGAATAAATGACTCCTAAAATGGATTTATATACTTTAATGAACAGCGAAATTCCATGAAAAATGACACATTTTTTTCAAGGAAAGCATAAACAGGAATAACATCTTATCCCTAGTGACCAATCCTTTCATTATTCAGAAACCAAATTATTTCAAATGTTTCATCAAGTGCTGTTTAACATTTAATGCAAAATACAATTTACAGAAGAATAAGTTAAATGTAATGTCATTACTAAATGCCCTCACTTCTGGGGAATAACAGTTGTTAGTTTGCACCACTGCTCTCAACAAACCCATGGAGACAAATGCTGTAGTTCTTTGGCAACTTCTGTTGATGCTTTAGGGTAGTACACTCAAGAAAATCTAATCACTTCTTCTTAAATATAAATTGAGAAGATTAACCCTAGGCAAGTGAGAACCATTTTGCTGGGGGATGGCAGTGAAGGAACATTAAATCACAACTTTTACTGCAGGTAGACTTTGACCTTTTCCTTTGCTTGCATCATAACCAAGGCTGCTTTGAGTGATACCATTGACTTTAGGTGATGACAGTTGTCTGAACCAAGTTTTCATATGCGATTACAATTTTATTATTTTGGGGATACCAGAGTCCGCCTGTGTTAAAACAGCTGAAAATATAATTGAAGTCCAGGTACACAGTCTGTAAATACTCCTCAGGTGAATAATATTTTGAAGTTACAGTACCTAGAAGATACATAGGAGAAAATTACATTTTGTACAAATGTCTGTTGTAGTTATGTTTTTACCATTTTGTTTTCTCGCTTTTACTTTCTATTGGAGCTCCTCCCATGACTAGCTTTGACCTTCTTGCTACTCAAAAGTTTTTGGAAATCTAGGTCTTATCATGTGGTGCAAGAGTTGCAGTCACTGAACACAGTTTTCATGTGACTTAGGTCATCAGTCATGAAAGAAAATATTTCTGTGCATTTGAAATGGTTCCCCAACTCTCCTTTTTTTTTTTTTTTTTAACTCTAAAATAAGAGCTTGTGTTCCTGAGATACTTCCTCATCAGTCTGCATCTGAAAGCCTAGTTTATCTCAATGCAGTATGTGTCCTAAGAGTTCATAAACATCATTGTACAGACAGTGCAGATTTAACCTGGCCACAATATAAAACTAAGGCCCAGATAGTAAAAAAGAGGATCAGGATTGCAGTATGAGCTGGCACTGTAGTAACTTTACTGGAAAAGCACAGCTTTTTGTCTTAACTGTCCATCTTACAGCAGATGCTGGCAGTCCACATCCAGATCCAATGTAACATCCACATTACATTTAGATCCTGGCTCAGACAGAAATACAAGTGCTGTTCAGAAGCAATCACAGAATTTTGCTACCAGTGCTGCATGCTGAGCATCCTCTGCCTTGTGCTAATCCCCTCCAGGCTCTGAATCACACACTGTCCTGTTGGCTGTCTGTGCAGCAGTAATGCTGAAGGGTTTCCTTGTGAGACCAGTTGCACTGAATGGCTACCACTTAATAACTAAAATACAGAAAGTGCCATTAACTTCTGGTAGTGGGCATGCCTTTTCAAGTGAGCTCTTGTTTCCAGTTTCATGGCTGTTCTGGATGGTTAACCCCCTAGGGAAAGCACCATTCCAGCTCCATTCACATTTTCCACAAACTAAAACTAATTTGTTTGTCTGAACAAAGATTTTAAGGCAGACACCATTTTTTCCTTTTAATTGCTTTGTGTCTAGACTGTGCAGATTATAAGCAGAAGTACATGGATTGCTAACCTCTTCTGTAGGATCTCAGTAATTCTGTTTCACAGCTTCAAGAACACTCACAAAGGAATTCTTTCTTCTTTTATTAAAGCAATGTAGATTAAACCAGGAATTACTAATTAAACTAAAAGAAAACAGATGCATACACTTTATAAACTGACTGGGATACTTGTTTCAAATAGGACTTTGATTCTCTGCAGGTTTGGTCTGCCCTGGATACAGTTGATTACAGTTGTATTGGACCAATGAGATTTTGTCAGTCTTAGCAAATAAGAAAAATGAAAATTTGCATGGGATTTTCAATCCTGTTATCTCTTAACTTAAGCAAAGCTTTGTCATTCAGTCTTTTTTATTTGCCACCATTAACCAAAGATTACAAATAATGTGAAGGAGGAGAAAGAGACTGGGAAAGTAAAGCCCAATAGCACAATTTATTCTGTCCCAGATAAGCAGCATGCCACTGCTTTCTCCACTTCCTCTCCTCCTCCTCAAGTTTGTTTTCTGCCTTGGCAGTTACTTCTTGTTATAAGACAGGACAGTTCCATTAGTTCTTCCAGTCAAGGCTTTCTTCATTATTCCTTCAACTACACTTCATATGTTTATGAAGTGCTATAAATATCAAATAAATATTTTCAGCAGAAAAATATACAAACAAAAATAAACAAACACAAAAGGTTAAAAAATCAAAAACTAAGTGAAAGGAGGGAAAAGAGATAAATGTGGTTTAGGAACTAAGTACGTAAATATTTAAACAGCTGTCATACAAAGCTTGAAAAGCCTCCTTTGCAAACAAATAGGGTGCAGTGACAGCTATACTTCCTTCTTGCTGTTTCTTCATCTACAGTTTTTTGCTATGAGCTGAGCACATAAGCTCTGAGCTGGGAATTCCTATTGCTCATTTATACAGTACCCAGTGGAAGAGGCCCCTGCTCTTAGACCAAGGCATTGTAATTCAAAGTATTAAAATCTTGTGATGCTAAATTGCTTTTCCAAGACATTACCACTCAGGGTCACATAAAATCACATCAGTGCAAAGGAATAAACTCCAGAGCCTCGGTGCTAATAACAAGAGAACAAAATAATTTTCCAATAAAATTTCTCTTCTCTCCTTAGTTTCATTTTGAGATTTGTCATCTTGCCTTTCATCATGACAGTCCTTCTCCTAAGACAGTAACCTTTGTTTGCAGAGGACTTTTGGTACAAGTTAAACACGATACTATAAGAGGGACCTTAAACCAGCCAGCCTTGATTTGTGATGTATATGGGTGAGTTGGTAGCAAGGCCAGACTCTGCAATGTATGGAAACATACACAGAGGGAAGGAATCATTAAAAACTCGATCAATGTAGAATTTGGCACCTCTGCTATTTAATACTCCACACTGACTGCTTCTGTTTAGTGTCTAAATGGCAGTATAAAATATTTATATGGCTATTTAATCATTACAGGAAAACCACAGAGTATGGGGAGGTTCATGAGCTCACAACAGAAGAGCAGTTTGTAGAGGGAAAATACATGGTGAAGTTTGAAACCAGCTCTTACTGGAAGGCGCTCGGGCTTTCTGCATTCCACGAATACGCTGATGTAAGTAGTGGCAAATATCCTCAATAACGAGTATGCACTGCCTGTGTAGTGGCATCAGCTGGAAAGAGCAAACACAGCCCTTTAATAATGAAGGAGCAGCATCACTCAGGGAAGTGGTTCACTGCCACACAGCACTGGACAAATAAAGGCAGTAAACATCCAGCTAAGCCACAGGAAGGAGACAGCTTCCCTGCAAATGCTGACACAGCTCTTCCAGAGTGTAGCTGTGCCCGTTCACCCTCTCATACCAGTAGGGAATCTTGCTTGAAAAGAGCTACATTAGTCAAAATTTGACAGTGTGTATAAAAACAAACAAGGAAAAAAACTGTACCAAGAAAAAGAGGCTGCTTCTACTGATGCTGAAGGAATGGAGAGATTAGGAAACCTTAATTTTATCGGAAATAAACTTAAATCAGAGGTATTTCCCCCATATCAGTCACATGAAAATCCCTAATTAAAATTCATTAATTCTAATATGACATGTAATTACAGGAAAAAAACCTATTCTTTCTGGTGTGCCTTTTTTTAAATGATGTTCAGTACCAAAATGTGTAATTAAAAAAAAAATTTTAAAAAAAGGTATAAAAAAGTAAAGAAATAATTATAGTGGGAAAGGAAAAGTTGACTATTTCATTGATATTCGAATTTCCCAAGCAGGCCAGCAATATGATAATGTCTTGTCTCTCCCTTTGCTTTCAGTTCTACACTGATTTATTGTGTGCTCTATCCTACTACATTTACTTAGCACACCCAAAAATCTGTTTAATTTCAGGCTTAAGCTGTCATTAAACTTAAGTTTCCCCAATTTAAGTAGTCTGGAAAAGCTAATGATAGTAGCTTTCTACAATACTTTGTAGAACATTTCAAACCATAAGTTCATGGAGCTCTGTGGAAGACTGAAACAAATGACTGAGTCCCAGCTCCATAAAAGTCTGAGGTGCAGCTTGGGTGATTTAGGTGAAAAAAAAAACCTCAAAAGTATTCCCCTAACCATTTGGATGTCTGAAAGTGGAAAGGGCTACAGCTCAGAAGATGTTTAAAAGAGCCTGACTAAGATTGTTTCATCTAGGCTGAAGAAGCTTCCCCTTGACATAACAAGCCTACAGGTGAACAAGCTAGCCTGGGAAGTGGGTAAAATTCAGTCACTGACTGTGTACAAGGTAACTGAAGCCTACAGTCCTCATGTCCCAGCAGCTCAGACTTTGGTCTTAGAAGACAACTCTAGTCCACTTATAGAAAGTACATCATGGTTTAGAAAATAAATCAAACAGTAGGCTAAAGAAATCTGGAATTTGACCCAGGTGACAATACCATCCTGGCAATTGGGTGTCCTAAGTCCCATTGGACTGATTTGGAGAGGAGGAGATTTGAACTGTCTTAGGGCAAGAGTGTCTCCTTGTTCTGGCAAGTCTAGCCACTCAGTTCTTAATGCAAAAACTGACCCATCACCAGTGGTGTTAAAAACAGGAGGGGGCACTGAAGTACAGAAAATAGCTTTGGGCTCCAACTGCCTGCCTTTTTTGGACACGTCACACAGGGGTTGTATTTAAATTCCCTGGGTGGAATTTCATCCCTGTCTTTCTTACTGGTCATTTGAGATACCTCCCCCTCACCCTCCTATTCCACATCACAGGGCAGTTTGCCTGGCTCAGATGTGGGTATTTCCATCCAGCTTCGCTGCAGCTCTTAGTGGAACTCGGTCCAAATCTCACAAATACCTCAGTCCCTCACAGGCAGTCATAAAGTAGAGGAAGCATTACCCTTCAGAAGGGTAAAAACATTGAACAGAACTAGCCAAGTGCTCTGCAGATGATGTGAGGGGTTGCTGCTTGGTTTTTAATAAGGTAGCTTTGGCTGTTTGCTGCTCATCATGACCACAGGTTTTCTCTTTTCCAGGTGGTGTTCACTGCTAATGATTCTGGTCACCGCCACTACACCATCGCCGCTCTCCTCAGCCCTTTCTCCTACTCAACCACTGCTGTTGTCACTGATCCCCAGGAATAAACCTGTACTGTCTTTTTCACACTTTCCTCCAATAGAACTATCATAGGCTTTTAGGAGGAAGGTTTTTCCTACTGCTAAAGCATAACTTTTTTGCTACATTAGTTGTTGTTGTTTTTTTTCCATTTTGTAACCTGGCAAACTTCAGACAAGTCAATAAAATATTACTTCTTTAAAACAATTTTGACTCAATTAAACAATTTTGACTCAATTTACATTTTAAAAATGTAAAACATAAAATGTAAATACATAAAAAAACATTTTATTGTTTCCTAAAGTATTATGATTTGCATCGAAGTGCAAAGGACATCTGAAAAACATGCATGGGATGACACTTGATTTAGTTTTGTTATCTTCCTACCACTACCTTAAAGAAATCTCACCAAATACATACCACTACCTTAAAGAAATCTCACCAAATACATAGGCTCAAAACAGGAAATTCACATAGTTGTGTTACTGTAAAAAAATACCAAATAAATGTACTCAAAATAAGAAAGTCATCTGTGCTACTCCAAGTTTACACACAGAAAATATGGTCCCACTGTCAACCAGCTCAAAGGGTGAATAGGTAAAATTCTGAATATCCAGCAGCAGAACAAACTGCAGAAACCATTGAAATAAGTATTTCCAGAGAGATGAAAGAGTTAAAATCTGGCTAGATTTAATTAAAACTTCAGGTAAACATCAATACATTGATGTTTCAAGAGGAAAGTTGCCTGCTCAATCAATCTAGAAAGCACTGAAGTCATTTCAGTTAGCACTTTTTTAACATCTTTGATATTAAAGTAATTATTTGACATCACACAGGTGGCTATCTTTTACAGGTGCATTCCAGTGAAATCCCTAATAAGTCAAATCTGTAGCCATCATTAAAAAGAAGTCCATAAAGAGAAGCAGCATCTTAATACTCTCTTCGTATTTTTAGAAATAGGAAAAAGTAAGCTGTGGAGTGACTGTGATTCAAATAAAATTGCTGATAAACTGACTTTGAGGGCTTTAGCAGTGATTGCTGTAAACCAATGGCCTATTGTATTTAAAATATCCTGAAGCAGAGGACTGGGGTTTTAACTGGATTACGTAAATTACAGAGAAAGAAACTGAAGTGGTGCCAGCCAGAAGCCTTTAGCACTCATTTGCAGCTGACCTTGGAGTTCATACCCAGAGCCTGCTGGGATGACGGCATAGCAAGTGAATTCACAAGTTACAAAAGACTGCCTTTAACATTTCACTGATTACTTTTTCACGGATTTCTAGATGCTACCATAGTTACACAACTCTTGTAAGCAGTGCAAACAGTTTCAAAACAGCACCCACCATGAAGTATGGAGATTCCATGGGATCCTGCTATCCCTGGAGCTTGAAAGGTTTCGTTTGAAGTGTGTTAAGCCCTCAAAATAGGAAATAAATTTACTCGTATAGATATACTCTGCACAAAAACAAAACAAGCAGAAAAAAACTACTCTGCTGGTAGCCATCCATTTGATAGAGAGCATAAACCTAACTAAAGAGTGTTTAAGCCAAGATTAGAAAAAGTTTAATTTCAAGAAGCAATATTTCCCTCAGTTGAACCAGATGCTTCTGGTAGGAGTTGACTTGCAGGTATACAGGGAAAGTCCTGAGCTGGTACTAAATCTAAGAGAGAAGTGATACAACTTAAAATACTGTTTAAATGTGCTTCAGAAGTTGGTGTGTTGAATTGTTTTCTTCCTAGGGAATATGTAAGATAACAAAATAGCCCACAGATTATCCACCTACCTTTTAATAGAGGTGGGGAGGAGAGTGACACAGAGAGGAATCTTTTAATGTATAAGCATGGGTGACTCAATTAAATCCAGCCATAACCACAGAGAATTTCTCACTGAAATTGCTGAGTTGACATAAAATTTGTATTTCTCTCAGTTATGAGGTCAATACAGCATTATTCCTCAATTAAAAAATAAAAAAGAAAAATAAAACAGAATAGATATTTCTTCCAAGAAAATTGGCACAGTAGTTGAACTAGGCCATGTTCACAGTGTTTCCACAGACAAGGGTATTAAAGACTTATTTTCACAAACAAGGTTCATGTTTGTATGGGTTACTTATTTTCTCATTATTTACAGAGTAAATAGTATGAATCTACGTGTTGAAAGTCATAGGGGTTTTCTGATAAGTAGCTTTGAGAGCATTTGAGAGGCCTTGATATAAAAATCACAGCTCCCACCTGTTTCTGCTTGCTGACAGAAACTTCCTAGTGGTAGGCAAAATGGCTTTTCATTCTGTATTTCTGGTTTTCTTAGCTGGCCTGGCACTTTGCTCCGAAGCTGCACCATTGGTAAGTGTCTCAGGACTGAAGTCCTTCTACTGATGTAATCCAAATATTTTTATTATTTTTTAATTAATGTAAGAAAAAAAAACCAAACATTTTTTTATTACTATTATTTTGATTTTACAGTATGTACTGACTGTAGTTCTCTGGGGCTGCTCTTTTCTGGTCCTTCTTTCTCCTTCCCTAGTGATTAGTGAGAGGACTTTATTGGTAGAGGAGTAGCACTTGTAAATAGACATAGTAGTAATATGAAAAGCAACGTAAAACAAGAAAGGGAAAACTATCATACTCACTAGACAAAAACCCTTGAGCATTCATAACATAATGAACAAGCTGTGTCACGAGGAATTTCATCTCCTGTTGCAAAATCCATGCTAGAGAAAGGCCTTCTTTAGACTTCTGCCTTACTGCACAACCCACTACAGCTTAATCCCATGTAAGTAAAGAACAGAGCTGAAGTCAGGATTCTTCTTCCAGAGGGCTCATTTATCCCAGGAAAGCAAGCTAAAGACTCAGATGCTTCAGCCTGAAATTCTCCTACAACAGCCTTGTCTCTCTCTCCTCAACTACTCATTTTTCCTCTCAACTGGGATCTTTGGGAAAATGATACCTGATAAACGTTATTGAGGAATTAGACTTTCCTTGAACTCCCAGGGTGTAAAAGTCAGGAAAATCAGTGATGGCAGTGCAGCCCTTCTTGCTGAGGTCTCACAAGAAACACCAGTGGGGAGCCCCTGCATTCCATAAAGGGAGCGTGAGGAATCTGGGCATACAGGCAGGATAGATTGATGCTGATATATTGTGGTATGGTGCTAGACAGGGTTCCTGGCCCATGAGACATCCCAGACTGTAAGAGGGAATGAAAGAGAGGGCTCTTAATTTTTAACCATCTATATCACAATTCGTTTTACAATGATTAAATGGATATCAGCAACTGCTATTTTGAGATCATCCCTGTTTAGCACCTTCTACAAAGCTCTATTTTCTCACTCTTCATCTGCAGAATTGGGTAAGCTCAAAGCCTTGATTCACCTCTATTTTTGAAAAGGTAAAACATCAGGCCATAACCACTACTTGTGATGAATATGTTGGGATGGAACTATAGCCATGCTGCATTTGAAGGCAGGATTTTCTCTCCTGTCCTTGTGTAGCTGCCAGGGTTGACAAATCTGATTCAACATGCAGTTAGGAGATAGTCTGCATGTGGTGCTTAACGCGTTTACAGCAGAACTGTAACTCTGTGGCAACAGAGATAACTCTATGGCAACAAGGTATCAGAGGCTCTCAAATCCAGAAAGTTGTGCTCAAATTGCCAGTCCAAAATACTGGGGAAGAGTTGGCAGATTTTTAAACATTCCTACTACCTTTGAGGATGTAATTATTTCCTGTTGAGGCCACAATTTGACAACAATGAAGTTACAACTTCATGCTGGAGATGATTGTAACTAAGCCATGCCAAAAAAAAAAAATAGAGACGTGGTCTCACAGCTGCAGTGCCTCCCTGGTGTGCATGGCTACATGCCCAGCAGCTCCTGAAATCTTGCTTCCTGGCTCCACCATATCCAGCCCCCAGAAAGCTTCAGATTATGTTTCCTCAGCACACAGAAATCTTGTGGAAAATATGGTCTCTACTGTACATCTGAATAATAGTATTCCTTACTGTTTTATGATGCACCGTCACCTATCCTTCTTGAAACATAAAAATTCTCTCTTCCTATTGCAGGACCCTCCTGATGCCAAGCATCCTCTTTCTGTAAAAGTTGTGGATTCAGTCCGAGGAAGTCCAGCTCCAAATGTTCCAGTTAAATTATATAAAGAAGCTGCAGATGGATCTTGGGAGCTGTTAAATTCAAAGTAAGCCACACTAAACTAATGAGTGAAAGATGGGAAAGGCAATAGGAAGAGGCCAAATAGTTCAAAGACCAGTTCCACATTCTCTAAAGTGAGATGTCTGTTTTGCTCAGAGGAAAGATAACATACAATTGAATTAACTTGCTGCAGATTGTCTTTTAAATGTACTACAGTTTAAACTACCAAAATGGTTTTATAATGCCTTATAATTCCTATGAACACAAGAAAGTGTTTTCAGCTATCCTTTAATTCAGTCATCCCTTCTCTTTAATTTCATTGCAAAGGTCTATATTACTTTTAAGTACCCACCGATGAACTGCTGCATTGTTACCAGAAGAGTCAGACTCTTACATTTTGAAACCAAGACTTTGGTTGAGAACCCAGCACTTACTGGCCATTTTCCATCTTTCTAAATGGATTTTCATTTCTTACAACACCACAGTTTTAAAAAGAGACTGTTTTGAACATATACCATATTGTATTTGATAGCCTTCTTTACTTCAAGATAAATGACTTAGCCAAAAGGAGAAAATTTGGGGATAAATCTTTCTCACCTTCTCTCCCACAGAGAAGCAATAACACCTCAAATAACAGAAAAGAATCTCCAGATATATAAATTCTGCCATGTCTTTTAAAAAACATAATTGTAGAATTTAAAAATGCAGATGATTTTTTTTAATTGCCCTCTATTTTAGTATGTATTAACACACCAAAAAAAGAATAAAAAGAAATTTTTACTTATAGTCTGAAATTAAATTGGAAAAATTCTTAGGGGATACACAGAATGAGCATTCTTTATTCACCAAGCAATATTCCACTTCCACACTTAGCTGCTCATGATAGCTGCAAAGTCTCACCTGAGACCTTTCCAGGTATGATAACACTCTATTCCACCTTAAAAAAATAGGGCTCTCAAGGGTCTGGCATAGCCCATGAAATTCAACAGTGAATTTCCAGACTCAGATGCATTTCTAGAAATTCCAGTAGAAGCTGTTCATATGGATCTTTGGTGTCACAGA